CTTTTTTAACTTTTTATTTACTTTTTAACTTTTTTATTCTGAAGTAATATTTAATTTTATTAACGAAGTAGACCCTTTTGTGGCAAAGCTGGCAATTTTCTGCAGTTGTTTTGCCCTTAAAGAGCTACACAATTTTTTTAAACCTCACATGTCAATTTTAACAATTTTTAGAAATTAAAGTAATATTTAGCCTTCAATTACTTTCCAGTATCTGTCTTGTATTTTTCATTTTAATGCAAGTAATTATATATTGATTTAATTATCTATCGATAATTTTGAGAATTACACAAAATAGGAAGAAGAACAATCTTAAAAACAAGATATTTACCAAATTCTTATGTCTGTTACGCAAATGTTTTTCTTACTGATTATTGCCAGTTTTATTTTATCACTTTTAAACATTTTACATTTCAATATGCATATTTACATTGTAGACACATTGTTTATTTCGAAGCAGGAGAAGTAAAAAATGACCACACCTTCGCCGGGAATCGAACCATTGACCTCTGGAATACGCGCCCAGTATGCAGGTCACTACACCACAAAGGCACGCTAAGAAGGAGGGAGAAATACCTTATAACATTATTCCTTTATTTCCCTAGTGGAAACCCGGATAATAAATTACAATAAGTAATAAAAGTATTAATTTGCTCATATAAATTATGAGCAATCATCGTTCTCCAAAATTGCTTGATCACATCCTACTTTTTTAATCTGGTGTTTAGTTTTGAATATCTCGTGTTTAGTTTTGAACATTAACGCTCGTTTTCAAAAAAAAAAAAAAAAACTTTGACGCGTCTTCTTTTTTTATAGAAAAAATATATTTTCTCGCAAGAAAGCTGTTTTTGGAATTTCGTACTCCCATGTCTTCTTGTACAGACACATACATTTCTGAAAAAGAAATAGTGATATTTTTTATTGTTTATGAAGAATTATAACAGCATAATCAATGTTGCGAGACTTATAATTTACATCTTTTTCTTGATGAATAGAACTGAACATTAAGATCAGACATCTCGAAGCTGCTTTAAAGGTTAAGTTTCATTTAAAGTGTGTGTTTCCAGAAATTTGTTGACGAACGCCTTATACGCAGCATGAACTGCCATCTTGAGGCCTTGAAAAAGACGAACCCAAACAACTTTCTGTAAAAGCAGGTTTTGTTAAGTTACCAATGAGACAAAATTTAAATTTAAATTTGGGATTTTTTTCACAAAAATGTTGCATTATTTTATGTACCTTGTCAGCCCAAAGGTAAAGGTAAAGGTAAAGGTAAAAGTATGGGGGACACCAGCGATGTACCATAGGTAAACTGGTAATGCCTTTCCATACTAACTCTTTGAGAAAAAAAAAAAAAAGGGGGGGGGGGGTAATTGCAAGTTTTCCCGAATTTGGATTTTTTTATTATCTATTTCATATTTTGTCAAGCATTAAGGAATTTTTTATTAAGAAACTCATCGATTTCAAAGTGAGCAATGGCAACACTGCACGAAAAAAAAATATCTCCAGCACGTCAGACTTTTAAATATTCTGTGATGTTGCTGTTGAATTGAATTTTATGGTTTAAGTGCAAAGAACATGATATTTAATAAGTGAAGGTCACACATAAATCTTTAAATAAGGCCCCTTTGGGAGTAATATAAGATCAGAAAGCTTTCAGATTTTTTAAAATTATTTTCTCATTATGAATAATATTTATTGTATGTACTTATTTATATATTTATTTACATTTTTATGTGTTTTAATACGAAATTACTGCGACTTTGTGGTTTTATGGTATAGAAGTATATAGTTCAATAACTAAATACTAGAAGTTTTAGATGCCACTTGAACTCAAGAAACATAATGTCACAGAGTTGTATTAGTCTTTCCGTTAGAGTTATGAAATGTTTTAGAATACCAAAATGTACCATATGTTCTTCTTTTTTTATTAGAACATGCAAAATGATACCTTAATTTTGTTTTTTAAATTTGTCTTTGTTACGTAAAGTAAAAATACACCGTAAACTAGACTGCAATTTGTTTTCTGTCTTATATGAAACAATTTCCGTAGTTCCACTTCCTTGTCTTATTTAAATTTTACCGCTAAAGATTCATTTAATAAAACTAAAATTTAAAGTGGATATTAGAATCATCCAGAATAGCCATGCTATGTAATATGTTTAAGAGTAAGTGCTGTAAAAGTTATCTCATTTACTTTTATTAGATACTAACATATTAAAACTTTCCATTAATAAAATATGTTCATGAAACAAAACATATATCACATTCAGTACATTCTACAACAGATATTTCTGATCGTTTTCATTTTCATCGTCAGTTAAAGTAATGTACTTCTTTATACAGGAAATGCATAATATTAAAATACAGATTCCTTTACTGCAGTTAATCGAATTTCTGCATTAAAATTCCTTTCGTTTCTAAAGTTAATCGAAAAATCGTTGTTCGTATTTTCTTTAATTACACAACTAGGCCATCCGACAATAAATGCCGTGGAAGATGAATATTACTGTCGAAAAATACGAGAGTAATAATCCTTAAATTCAAAGAAACATAGGAAGTTTTCATACTTTATCCACTGATTCGTAACGTAAATCGAAATAACTGAGTTCTTTGATGTGTTTCTAATATTAATTTTTTTTAGCAGTATAAGAAACATTATTTCACTCAGAGCACTGGATAATTATTCCAAGCATTTTTTTTTTCTGTTTCGCACTTATCATTGTCTGAACTGTAAATGTTATGCAAAAATACTGATTAAATTAATTATACCACATTACATTTAGAATTAATATCTCAGTGCTGACGAGAACAAATGACTGGTACTAACAAACTATGTTTTCATAAATTGTCTTTTAAAAGATTTTACATTTCAGAAATTAAATGAGTTTCTATGACATATAGCAACAAGGAATATGCATGAGGGTCCTACAAGTACAAATAGCAAATCATTTTACGAAACTACGTTTCTGATATTCTATTCGTGCCTTGTTTCCAATAAGGATTCTCTAGTTTTTTCAATAAAAAAGTGTTCTATTAGCTGAAAATTATTGAGAATAACATTTTATTTAGCATTTGATTACATAATATGTAAAATAAATTCTGAATAATTAATTCATAATCCTACCTGGGTCATTTTTACAATTCCTGACTGTTCACTTATAATTATCAGTCGTTTTCTATTTTTCTTTTATTATAAAATATCTAGGAGGTGTAATGTGTTGTATTTATTACTTTAAACCTTTCCGGCACGCTAACTTTTAAAGCCGGAGTTTTGATAAAAAAAAAAAAAAAAAAGGTAGGCAGTCTAATTAGGCCTAGAGGAGTACAAAAGTAAAATTTTGGGAAGATAACACTTATCGTTTTAATTCTGTGGGTGTGCCCAAAGTGACACACTGATTGAATAGAGCTTTGAAATTAGTGCTGAAACGAGCATTGTTGTCAAAGAACTGACCGATGATATGCGGAGAAACAAAGAATACAGACTCTCAGTTGTCCTATATTATCGGTGAGCCCGGTCTGGGCATTTGTTTTGATTTTAGGCAAGATGATTTTAGGCAAGATTTCAAGGTAAAACTTTAAAACTAATATAGAATAAGAAGATTAGCATACAACCAAAAAAATAACATAGAAATTTCTTTTCAAACAATTCCTTTTATACCCTAAAAAAATCTGGAAGATTTCTTTGAAGAATGAGGGTCTTTAAAAACTAAACATGGCTAAAATATATGGACTGGCTTGTGTTGAGTTGTCATCTACTGTCAATAAAGAAGGTTCAGAGTAACCTATAGTAACCTATTAATCCTTTTTCATTCAGTTTTTCTGTGGGTTCAGAAGGAAATTTTTAAGTGTGTCCAGACAGGACACACTGTGCCGCAAAGGGTTAACAATTAAATAATAATACAGCGAGTCCGTTCTGCGTGTAACTGAGACCAAATAATTTCAAGAATATATCAGTGCTACTGAAACCTTTAAACTAAAAGAGTAAGTAAATATATTTATTTTTTAAATCATGTTTAAACATACATATTCAGAGATGTATTCATATATAAGAGTGAGTATTATTTATAATTTAAAATGTAGAGTAATTAGATTACATTGGAGAGTATAATCTTGTATACATTAATTGTAAGCACATATCAGGTGTAACAATTATCACAGATAAGAATCGAATTTATTGCTGACTGTTGCTTTATACTCAAGCCAGTCTTGTAAGGGCATGAAATGCTAAGCATGGCAGTTTGAGTGCTTAATCTAAAGACGTGTGATGAGATAACATAATTTCCTAGACCTCTCAAGTAAAAATGCAGAAATCATATCATTAATGGAAGTTGCAATTTCTAACTAATTGTAATTGGCTAATTACAATTTTATCCTAAACTTCCACTGGTGTGGCGGATATTTCCCTTTCCTTTTTCAAGATATCAGACAAACACCGTCTTTTTAAATTTTATATTTTTATTTTGTATATAACAATAGTACATATCTTTAAAACGGCAAATACAGCCTTCAAGTATTTTCTCGAATTTTGTCTGTAGGGGCAGCACAAAACATATATTTTCATTTGACTCTCATCCACAAATTCTATGGTGTTTAAAATGATTTTATACATTAAATGAGGAAATTCATTTATTAAAAATGTATATGTCTAAGGTCAATATTCAAGAACAAAATATGTGGTTAATCGTTTTTACTGTTTTGAGTATTCTCAGAAATAAAGACTGTAGATTAATCAAAGAATAGAATGAATGTAACATTTTAATAAATGAGCCTTTGTTTAGTTTTTAAAGCATTGCAATATTTCCCATCGTCGCATTTTGAATACGTTAAACTGAAAAAAATGTAAATACTAATCCAATAAAAATACGGAAGCATATGAATTGTGTAAAGGGTGTAGTGTTTGCTAATATGCTTCAATACTCTCCCAGATATTACCATGCAACGTCTATAAATATTTCAATTCCGTACAAATAAAAAGCAACTCAATTTTTCTTCTTAGCTGCTCTGTGCCTGGCTGCAATTAGAATGCTGATGATGGACGTCCCCAGTCCTACTACCCAAGGAGAGTCTGTTGAGCTAATCTGCAGCTATGAACTGGACGAGGACAAGCTCTATTCTGTCAAATGGTACAAAGATGACATAGAGTTCTACAGATATGTTCCGAACGACTGGCCACCGGGACAATTCTTACCGTTGCAAGGAGTGCGGGTAGATGTAAGTAACTTTATTCACACATGTACAGTGATTCAGTTTACTTAATGCAAAGGTTTATTTTGCGAAGCCTTCAAAGCGATTAAATTTGTAATTAGGTTATAGCATCAGATTACATCTCTGTCGCTTTCTTATCTGATCTTTGAGTTATTTAAGTAAATAATATGAGAGTAATAATCATTACAGTTTTCATTACATACTTATTTTGTAATATAATTTTTAAATATTCACTGCATAGTTTTCTGATGCTGAATAATTCTCAGATATTTATAATGCGTAGCTAGAATGAATGACATTAATTAAAGGTAAGCGTTTAAATCTCAGTTTATGTAACTAACAATTTCTGTTTTTTCTCCTTGTTGACACTAAATAGTCATGACAAATTTTACGTACTGTGATAGCAAATATTACTGAATTTACGTTTTGTGAAAAGGAATTTATTTAAAAGGAAATGTAAAAAAGTGTCAAAGTAATTCAAATTGGGCAGTTTTAATAATAAATATATAATTAATGGCAAGAGTAATACAAAATTCAAAACACGCAGATAATAATAACTAGAAAACAGCAATTACAAGATAGTATGTATGAGGTATACGACTTCAAGTATGAAGATATTATATATGAAACTGGTCTAAACTTACAGTTCTGAAACCACGGCATTATATGCTTTTCAAAAGAGAAAATGTACTAAAACTTTTCTTATTTTAAATGAATTTTTTTTTTTATTTTTCGGTACGCTCACTGACATAAATACGAATTTTCCTGTATGAACCGCATTAAAGTGTCATTACATTAAAAAGAAAATTAGAAAAATCATCTCCGTAATAAAGAGAGTCAGAGATTATAAATGATCTGACTAAACACAAAAGTTGTCCGAATGTCCTTACACACGTACAGAATAAGGATAATGATTGAGGAAAGTTGAAAGAAAAGATAGATCTATAAGAAAAACAATATAAAAGACTATTTAAGGGAAATAATTAATATATCTCTATCGGTTCAAATTTCAATAGGACAGTCCAAGACTATGATGTTAAATGCTATTCCGGGTTTCCTCAATATATATGGTATTCGATCTCACTAGATTCAAGATTTCTTCCTAGTTGAAAACTTCTGATAAATGCACTTCTGAGCAAGAAATAAGCAACAAAGGTAAAACAAGGAATGAGACAAAAACTATCTAAAGGATATGCGTGAAATTGATCCAAGAGATTGGCGTGGCATTACTACACCACATAGGAAATAATAAAGCAAAGACATACCAAAGCCCTTCTATTACGACCATCACATCGCGAACTAGCGAATCATTTTGACACTCTTTATTAGGATTTCATAACTGGCTAAACAATGTAAAGTGATATTATCGTATTTGATATATTAAACCCATATCACACCAAATATTGTAGAAATTAATATTTTTTATAAATTCTTAAATATGTGTTTCTCTAAGTTTATGTAAACATATGAAACCAAAAAAATTACCAAATTTTTATTAGTTTGATACATATAGCATGTCCTAAAAATAGGACAATGGTATAATCCTCTGCTAATCATTCTTACGTAGCTGGAATGGAAGAAAGTATCCTAAGCATAATCCAATGATACATTTTTTACAAATAATTATTGGTTTTGCGGCGCATATTTTTAACTGGCATCTTCTTTGTCTATTTTCTGGTTTTTTTCACAATAACATGTTCATTTCGAAGCTTTAGAAAATTTTCTTTAACTTGTTGAACACCCAGTTTTCTGCAATATGAATTTTTATGGAATAGACAGTCTCAAATAGCCAACTTTTACGTATGTCTGAAAATCAAGCAAGCTCATACTTTCATCACTAAATAAGTGTTTGAGCTTCCATGAAACAACAAATGCTGTCTGATAAGGAAAATGCTTCGGAATACGTTCGAACTTGGGTTCACATTTTACCCAATTTGGGATTTACATCATGTTCTTTATTGCTATTTGAAACTAAAATTTCAATAATGCCCGCAACCTCTTTAGGACTTCCTTCATATTCTTTCTTCCAACTCTCGTGTAGATAAATCATCATTCTCTTCTGTGTTACTCAGGGCATCGGGATCCGAGGGTAAAATCACTATTTCATTGTCTATGTCGACTAAATCGCTGTGATCTGAAGTCTACAAAAAATCGAAAGCTTCTCGAGCAATTAAACATTTATACGACATAGTACTAACATTAAAATTATTTTCAGAAAGAAAACGCAAAATTCAAGCATGTAAGAATGAGAGAAATTTAGTCTACTTCGATGAACTTCGGAATACAAACTGATTTTATGAGTCAGTGTTTGAAACATTTATTCAGTGCCCTCATTGACACTTCACATACTTGTCTGTCAATTGACTTGCATCTGCTTTCTTGACTTAAGTGCATGAATTAGTTGTAGAATAGCAGTGTTTGTAATGTAACAGAGAAAGAAGAGATTATCTCCATTACAAACTAATGGCGATTATTTGACCGTCGTCCTATTTTTAGGACAGCTAAAAATGCAAAACAAAAAATTTCTTTTAAGTAAAATGTTTTGACAATGCTTTTTACTGGTATAAACGTATCGAATTTTACATCAATAAATTTATATATACGTTTTTCTTGAAGCTAAAAATCTTGGAGCTTCTTTCAAAAATATTGTACATCGAAAACATAAGCAAAAAGTCTGCAAAAATCCCCATTTAAAAAAAATTATAAAGAATAACTAAATTAATTCTAGCCTGAGATAAAGACAAATACGAGTATATAGTTCAATGCGTCTTAAGCAATACATCGTCTTTAATTTGAATTAAATAATTTCAAAGATTTTGTACAAAGACCATTTATGTATGCTGTCCTATTTTTAGGACGATGAGGAAATATGGGTTAAGTGCATTTTACCGAACGTACAGTATTTTTACTCTATTTGCGTTGCTTAATATTCATAACAAATCTGTTATAAGAAATCTCACAGAACGCAATTTAAATCTTATATTAAAAGTTAAATAATGGGATTACTGGAAGTTTAAAAAACTTCGAGATTATGAAAAATAACATTTAAAAATAAAATGTCTTTTGGTATACTCGATTAATACAAGTGGAAATTTATTAGTTCACTCTAATTAATGTGCTAGTTCGGTCTTTCGCTTCAATTAAGAAATTCTACTGTAATTAGATTTCGAAACAATTAGAATCATTAGCACTTCAGAATCTTTTAATGATTCAATGAATTCTTATCAAGCACAAGTGTTAACAGCACAAGAATAGTTTGCCATGAATAATCCCATTAGATTTAGCTTAAACGATCAATGATTGCTTTTATTTAAGTTTATTGCTTTTTAACAATGTAATTATTTTTATCTTGGTTATCTAATTTATTTAATGTTACATTTTTATCTGTTTTCAATTTAGGTATACCGTTACATCAAATTTATTCAATTTTCTGATCTCAAATTTCATACTTGCACTTTTATTTTAAACCTTGAACAATAATTACTTTTATTTTGGTTTTCCATTTTATTTTATGTTATAATTTGTGTTTATCGTCACATCAAAGTTGTTAAATGTTTTTATGTCAAATTCCATACTTGCATTTTTATTTCAAACACAAAAACATTAATTTTTCTTATAAATATACGGTCGTTACTAGTTTATTAATAATTACATCATGAACATTTGTTAACAATTTTAAGGCCAGTATAAGTGGAGCATTTAAGGAAAAAGGAAAGATTATTTGTTGAACATTGAAGTTTCTAAAAATATGAGAATGATAAGTGATTTTGATTACAATCAAATAATTACCAACTCTGGCGTTTCCTGGCCAACCTGAAAAGCTTTAATTTGCAAAATAATAGTCTTTGTAAATTTTGGAGGGCTGAAGACAATGCACGACATTTCTTCGAATGCGTATTACTGCGACATGGTAGGGAAAAACATGATAACATAAAGGAATTCTGTTGCCGCAGGAAAGGATTTAAATTTTGCAAAGGATTTTATGAATTTTATGAATGACAACAGAAGAATATAATTTCGATTCGATGTTTTTAACTGTATTTTTGTTTTAATCTGTGTTAAGTATGCTGCGTTAACCATATAGCAGATTATTACCTGCCAGGAGGGTAGCAGCACACTCGTATATTATATTACCTTGAATAAACTGACAGTAATTTATATAAATACAGATATTCATGTCGAAATGCTATGGTTTAAAGAAGAATTGTAAAGTCAGCAACACTAGAGCAATAAACATTTGTATATGCTACATGATACTAATAATTTGGCTTTTAAACAGATCTTTTTCAAACCAGAAAAACAATTTTGAAATAATAGATATTAGTAACACAGCTTTCACATGAGTTATACTTTAGATTTACAGGGTGGTTATAAAAAACTTGCCCGATTTATGAACTCTTAGAGGCCTATCCGCTCAACCAATCGAAGTGAAATTTCGGATACTTGAAGGTACGTGATTTTGATGATTTAAAACAGCACAGCACTCACAGTTGCGGTTAAAGTGAAAACAATTCAAAACTTTCAAATAGCAACTTGCACTTTTTCCATCTGCGCAAATAGATCAGCGCCTTGAAAAACCATAAATGACATTACAACGTCACACTTATGACGAGATTTGTCAGCGTAAAATAATTGGAAAGAAGAGCGTTGTAAAGGACCAATGACAACGTAAGGAAAGAAAAAAAAAAGTTTATTGCAATTATAAGTTTTCAGCGTGCCCACCTTCGCAGACCATAACGCATTCATGTGGGATATTGCTAGATTGCTGAAAAAAATGACAAGCGTAACACTGCAGAAAAATCTGTATAACATCCCATTTTATTGCATCTTTCAATTCTGATAAATCTCGTAGATGTATTCATTATGCGAGGTCCAGACTTGGTGCGTGAAGGTGCAGTTGCCCCTCAATCCCTATTTTTTGACTTCGATGATTTTGTTTTCAGTTTTAGTCTATCTTTTATATGTTTGATCAGATGGCCTGGCTCAGTAAAAGTAGGTAGCAAGTG